TTCATCTCTTTGTCAAAAATCAATTGCCCATAAATAGATGCAGCCACAGTATTTTAAATTGCCGCACATGCTTGCAAAGCCTGGACAACAAATGGTCAAAGATGTAGTGTTTTTGAATTGTGATCCTGGAGAAGTATGTGGACCCCCCAGAAGGACGAACAAATCTGCGCCGGAGCAAGGACAATCAAAATGCTCCTTAGAAGTGAGGCTGGCAAGACTACACGTACTGTGGACATTTTATCAGGAGTGACCAGGCTCTAGAGAAGGACATTATGCCTAGCAGCAGGTCAGTGAAAAAAGAACATGACCCTCTAACACAGTGCTATAACAATGGATTTTCATACACCAATCATTGTTAAGAGGGCACATCGCTGTGCAGTGTTTCATTTTATAATACATATTCTTGTTGTTAGGTGCTATGAGTACGACTCATAGCAACCCTATGAACAACAAATCTGAGCCCTGTCCTATTCTGTGCCGACATCCTCACAATCTCCTACACACTCAAGCCCATTGCTGCAGTCACTGCGTCAATCCACCTAGTTGAGGGTCTTCCCCTTTGCCATCCCTACATCTTTCCAAGCATAATGTCCCTCTTCAAGGAACAGCCTCTCCTAGCAACATGCGCAAAATATGTGAGCTGAAGCTTTTATCATCTTTGCCTCCAAGGCTGCACTTCTCTAAGACATATCTTCTTGGCAGTTGGGATATTCAGCACTCTTCTTCAACACCAGAGCTCAAAGGCACCAATTCTTCTGTCATCCTTATTCACTGTCCAGCTCTCAGATGCACAGCAAGTACATGAGGTCACTACAAATTGGAATCAATAGCACTTAACAACCATCATAACATGAAAAGAAAAAAGACAAAAAAGGAGGAGGAGAAGATGCATGGATATGATTGGCCAGAAAAAAAGAGCCGCCTTTTTCTGCTTTGCTATATGAGCAACTACCACCACCACCATCATGAATGACAGTAACTAGTGGACCAGGAAGTTCATGCTATAAGCCCAGCCCCAAGTGCCCGAAACCCCTTCCCAGGACCCAAGGCTTAAGAAGGACGGGTACAAATCTGGTGCCAAAGCCACAGACTTTCTGACAAACCAGGTGGCTCCAGTTGGCGTAGGCAACTAAGTACACAGTTGGCAGAGAATGCAAGAGGCGAACAGGTTCTTGAGAGGGCCTGTCAAAACCAAGTTCAAAGTCAGGGAAAGTTTGTGGGGAAAGGAACCAAACTTAGCACCTAGCGTTAAGATGCCTGTGGAAGGGTAGGTTTCTTCAAGACTATGATTTGCCCATCCCTGAGGATGGCATGGGATAGGGTCAGGCCCAGGTCAGTTGTTATAGGATTACCATGAGTTAACAATCGGCCCAATGGCACCTAACAACAACTCAGTTTAACTAGCCCAGTGGCCTAACACATTAAGAGCTACACTCAGAGGTCAGTGGTTGGAATCCACCAGCTGCTCCCTGGCTAGTCTCCTTCCGGAAAGACAGACCACATGAGAAAAACTGATGGAGAGTCACTATAAAAATCGGAAGTCGCACCCACGGTAGGATGGGCTTTTTGGGCATGTAGTTTCAAAGGAGATTTGGGGAGTTGACAGTGTTCTAATCAGAAGCAGTTCAGCGGTGGAAAGACTGGCAATCTCATCTCACTAGCGGAAGACCAATGAGATCGGCCTAATGGATAAAGAGTTGCTCTTGGGTTGGTTCGAATCTAGTGGGAGAAAGATGGGCAAACTTCTCTCACGCAATTTCTAGCCTCTGAAAACCTGGGAGGGTCAGCTATGAGTTGGTTTACAGTAGACAGCACATAAAGACATAGAAATCACTGAGATTCCACTCCCTCACGAATTTTCTTTGGGAATTTTCTAGGAATGATTTCCAAAACCAGGTCATGGCATCCCATGTGAATTTTGTAAGGAAGGATTTCGCTCGAGTTCTCTATGACAACAGTTCTAGGTCTCCTCACATATTTGCTGGGTTCTGATATGGGAAATTTGGTCACCAGGGAATCAGCGCCTTGAAGAGAAACTGGCAAGTCCCTAGACCCTGCAGAACGCGGATACAGGGTTCCCCAGCCCCGAACTCCAGTTGTCTCGTGCTAAGAAGCTACGCTGCAATCGCGAAGACAGCGGTTCAAATCCACCACCAGCTCCGCGGGAGAAGGATGGGCAATCTCTTTCTGTGCTATTTGCCTCTGAAAATTCACGGGTGGGTCGGCTCTGGGTCGGTTCCAAATCGACAGAACATTACAACAGACTTGAGCTCGAGTCCCAGCATTCAACACGGACAGCGCCGAACCACAAATCCTCCATCTCGTGCATTCTGGCTCCTGCGTGCGCCCCCAGCCCCTTCGCCGGTTCCCCTCCCGGCCTTGGTCCCCTGACTCGGGCTGCTCACCGGTATAAAAGGTGGAGACGTAGATGGGCCCTCCGAGCACCTGGTCGCACAGCACCTTGGCCAGCACGGCGCGCGGCGCGCGGCCCGGCAGCGCGCGCTCCAGCAGGCGCAGCCACACGTAGTTGAAGTTAGCGTGGAAGGTCACGACCACCGTGGCCACGCGCCGCGTCTGGCGCCAGTCGGCCGGGCCGTCCTTCAGTCGCTGCTGCAGCGCATCGCCGGCCGAGAAGAGCGCGGCGTAGAGCAGCACGTTGGTGGGCCACGGGTGGCGCCGGGCAGCCCGCCGCAGCGCCCGCCACCAGCCCGCCATGCCCGCGAGCACTGAGCGCCCGCGAGCGCGGCCGTGCGGCGGATCCGGCGGCGCCTTCCCCCGTGCACGCCCTCCGGCCGCCCCTCGCCCTCCGCGGCTCCGCCTCCGCCGTCGCCGGGACCACCTCCACCTGCTCCTGCCGGAGCCCGCGAGCAATTGAGGCGCCCGGCTACACCATCCAATCCGCGCGTCCCTGCCCATCGTGGCGGTGGAGCTCTTCCTAGGTGGCCGGTCCACCTGGGTTTCTTGACTCCATTTACAGGAAAGTTCCAGCCTAGGCAAGCGTGCAGAGACAAAGGGTAGGTCAGTGGTTGCCAGGGGCTGGGGGAGAGGCGACGAGCCCGATTGCTAACGAGGGCCAGTTCTCTTTTGGCGTCAGGAAAATGCGCTACAATTTGAATGATGGTTGCACCACCTGGCTATACTAAGAACCACTAATTGTACAATTTTAAATAGTGCTTTTCTGGAATGCACATTGTTGTTGTGTACTGTGGAGTCGGAACCGACCCATAAAGCAATTTAATTGCGAGAGGAGAATCCTCATCCAATCCCGAGGAGCAGCTAGTGGATTCGACCTGCTTGGCTTTGGGAATGCAGCACAGCTTCTTATCACTAGGCCACCAGAAAGAGCTCCCTAGCTTTTGGTTTTGTTTTCTTTTAAAGGGGGGAGGGGAATAAAGGGTTAGCAAAATGATGGTGTATTTTAACTTTCATTGGAAGAATTTCCCTTTCCACACACATACTACAATGGATTGTGTAACTTTCATTTGAGGGTAGCCCCAAAAGTGAAAATTGACGGTCTTACGTGAAAAGAGCACTGCTGAGTGGAAAGTGGGGAAGGGTGGAAATTCATTAGGTTAAAGAGCGATGAAGGAACAGGAAAGATTCAGTAGGAACAGTAGGGGAAACAGGGGTCATGATAGTCGTATCAATAGTAATTACGTAAAATACTATGTATATGAATTAGTGTATAAAGTGCAATGTATATGAACAAAGCACTATGTAAATGAAGGATTGTATAAAACACAATGTGCATGCATGAAACACAATGTGTATTGATGATTTTGTGCAAACCAATAAAAATATGAGGGGGAAAAAAGAACACTCATGGTTTAATAGTAAGGTATCTTGCTACCAAAGCAAAGGTATGCAGTTTAAATCCACCAGCTCAGCCTTCTGCAATTTACTGCCTCCAAAAACCTGCTGGAGAGTCAGCTATGCAGTTCCGTCCTAACAGTACACAACAACATGAAAATTGAGGGAGATTCAATATGCCTCCTGCTTTCTCCTCTCCTGAGATTGGACCTCAGTGATACTGTCTCCCAGGCACTGTGCCAAAAGCAAGGAGGGAGGTGTGCGTGGCCATTGCTATACAATTACATAAAATTCAATGTTATTTGGGGGTTTTACCTGCCTTTTGGCTTTCCTCTTTGACATCACATCCAGCTTCATTTTCAGTGTCTCTCTAGAGAGCTCTGGTGGCTGAGAGGTAAGGAATCGTGCTGCCAATGTCAAGATGTGCTGTTTGGATCCATCAGCTTCTCTGTAATCAACTCCAGCTCGATCTACAGCCTCTGAAAACCTGCTTGGAGGGTCAGCTATATTCCAGCTCGATGGTACGAAACAACTCCTCTATTTACATTATTTAATTTCCATTTCTTTCATTTTTACCTTTTCATTCCAGACAAGCTGCAAAAAAGTCTGTACAGCTCCTTTAAATCCTTCACTCAAAAAAACTTACATTGCTATTGAGTTGGAGCCACATAGCCAGTTTTGGAGCATGTGGGGAGATTGCCCACCCCTTCTCCCTCAGCTCCCCTGGTGGATTCGAACTGATCACCTTTAGGTTAGCAGTGCAACACTCTGCACACTACACCGCCAGCGCTTCCTTTATTCTGTTGTTGTTAAGTGCTGTGGAGTCGCAGGCGACTCATAGCGACCCTATGAAGGAGAGTCCTCGATGCTTGAGTGTCTCTCATCCTCTCTCCAGGTTTATAGGGTTACCGGAGGCAAGCTATTATGGAAGTGGATGCCACTCCTGCTTCCAAGCTTGTTTTAATCGGGAAGCTCCACCCCACTCTCTGTCTGCATTGGGTAACCAGCCATTAACGCATTTGAGACATCAGTGTCACAATGTTTGGCCTCACAGCAACCAAAAGTGACTGTGGTACTGCAACTTATACACCAGTGCTATACGACCTAGAGGAATGTCTGAACAAAAACAATGAAAGACTGGCCCAAGGGCCCGGATTAAAAGTCACCCATCTTCGGCTTGGTAGCATTGCTTTCTGTCCACTGGGCCAGCTGATCTCTCTATGTTGATGTTATTGTTGTTAAGTGCCTTCGAGTTGCAGGCGACTCATAGTGACCCTATGAAGGAGAGTCCTAGACGTTTGGGTGCCTTTCATCCTCTCTCCAGGTTCATAGGGTTTCTGGAGGCAAGCTATTACGGAAGTGGATGCCACTCCTCCTTCCAAGCTTCCCTTTACTCTAGCTTCCCCAAATATCTTGCATAACCTTAGTACAACGGTCAAAACCAGGAAATGAGCGTTGATGCAATAATTATCCCAGATCACATTGCAGTGCATTGGGTTGTACGTCCCTATTCTCCAGTCTGGGACACTCGCTAGTTATTTTGTAGGCTGTCTCAATCTGTCAACCTCATTCTCCTTCATTTTGAAGAATTAGCCTGTTTCTCTGTTCTTTGGCTCTGTCTGCCCCAGTTGCTGTGTTCTATCCCTTTCCTTTCTTTAGCCTTGCTACTGGTCTCAAGTAAATCTGTTTAATTTCTTCCCCATAGGCAGGCTCCCAATTCACCCAAATATCCCATTCTTTGCTTATTTTAGCCAACTAAACACATCCCACCACCAGACCAGTGGTTCTGACTCAGAGTGACCATCCACTGGGTTTCCAGGACTCTAAATCTTTACAGGAGATGACTGGCCATCTTTCTTGCCCAGAGCAGTGGGTGGTTTCAAACCACCAACATTTCATCATTAAGGTTTAAGCCTTGGTTATTACTCATTGAGTCACCAGGATGCCTTCCTTTACTTACATGCAAAAGTAGATTTACCAGTATGTGCAGGCTTATGTTATGCACTTTCACCTGGGTTTCACCCCAACTCTGATGTGGTGTTGAACAGGTGAAATTGTGCATTGCAGGATGATGAGAAGGCTCAGTTGGTCTGTGCCATCAGGGACTTCTCCAAAATACTAGGGAGCAATGAGGTCAGTTTGAAGACTAAGGTGTACCTGACTTGGACCACGGTCTTTTCAATCACTTGCTGAGGGTTCAGTAAGGATGGAAGAAAAAGAATCAACAACTTTTGAGTTGTTGTGTTGGAGAAAAGTATTGAGTATGCCATGGACTGCCAAAAGAACAAACAGGTATGTTCTCGAGAAGTGCAACTAGGGTGCTTCTTAAAGGTAAAGATGGTGAAACTTTGTCTTACATACTTTGTGTTAGAAGGAGCCAGTCTTTGGAAAAGGACAAAGAGAGAAAGATCCTCAGTGGGATGGATTGACACAGTGACTGTAACAATGGGCTCAAGTATGGCAGAGATGATGAGGATGGCAGAGGGCAAGGGTCAGATCCATTGCTCATAGGGTTGCTATGTATCAACCTGATTGCACCTAACAAGACCTTGCTTATTGAGTAAACCGACCCCATTTACCCCAGGTATACCCTCTCGTGTTAGTGTCCTGTTGCTATCATAACAAATTACCATAAACTTGGTGGCTTAAAACAATGCAAATGTACCCTTTCATAGTTCTAGAGAGCAGAACTCTGAAATGGGCCTACAGGACTGAGTTCTTAATGAAGGCTCTTAGGGGGAATTCACTTCCCTTGCCTCTTCTGGCCTGTCAATGACTCACAGGTCCCTCTTCAAAGCTGGCAGCCTAGTATTTTGTGATCTGTTTCTATTGTAATAACTGTTTTTTTTCTGACTCTGACTTTCCTGTCTCCCTCTTCTAAAGACCTCTGTGATTGAAGACATTAGGCCCACCCAGATAATCTCCCCATTGCATGCTCCTTCATTTAAACATTAATTCCGCTTGCCATGTAAAGTAACATGCACAGGTACCAGGGGTTAGAATACACACATGTTTGGGAGGCCACTATTGCATCTACAGCCCCCCTTTTTATCTTGTTCTCTTTCTCTGCATACCTGACAGCCAGTCTAACAGCAACTGATCATGTTAACTGAGTTCAGACTACCTGTTTCTCAGCACTTACAGATGAAGACAATCTGTTTATCAGCCATTTGCTTATTTATTTATTCATTCAATTGATAAATAAAATAAATAAATTCAATTAGGCACCAATAAGTGTCAGGCACTGGTCTGTGAGCTATGTAAATTTATAAAATTTGAATTTAAAATACACACACACACACATTGTTGTTGATTGCCTTCAAGTCGAGCATGACTCATAACAACTCTGTGAACAAAAGTCCTGAAGCACCTCTACAGCTATCGACATTTATCAAATCAAAGTTCATAGAGTTTCCAGAGGCATGTTGTTTAGGAAGTGGATGCCACTCCTGCTTCCAAGCTTGTTTTAATCTGGGAGCTCCACCAAACACTGTCCACCATGGGTAACCGTTATTGCATTTGACACATCAGTGTCACAGTGTTTAGCATCACAGCAAACATGAGTTACCTCTGTACAGCAAATGGACAGACCACATGCATACATATACAACCTGTCTACACAATTATGTATATGCCTATATATAATAGAGAGATAGGTAGTGGTGGTTGTAATGTGCTGCCTAATCAAAACCCCCAGCCAGTTTTCAGAAGCAGTAAATCACATCAGAGGAGACTGTCCATCTTTCTCCTGCAAAGTAGCTGGTGGATTCAAACCATGTGCCTTAGAGTTGGCAGCACTGCTTCTTACCCACTAGGCCACCAGAGCACCTGTATCTATGTCTATATAGGGAACTCTGGTGACTTAATGTAAGGAGCTGTACTGCTAACCGAAAGGCAGGTAGTTT